CAATCAAATTTCCACTTTATTTTATTTTATTTATAAAGATATCTTATTCTAAAGATTTTTTTTGAAAATCAGACTCCTGCTCAGGTGCACTCACTCCAGGCAGCACCTTTGTGTCAGTTCATTTAATCTGTGGACCTCTATGCCCACACCTGGTGATTTTGTGTGGCAGAAGCCAGGTCATTTATTCTGAGGTGTCTCCTGCACTCTGAATTTTGGCCATTATGTCCCTGGGAAGTTGTTTAACATGATCCTCTCTCTCTCATATTTCCTTTAATTGGCAGTAGGATCTAAAAACCTAATCAGATTTAGGTTCCATTTTTCGGCCGGAATATTCTACGGGCAGAGCTCTGTGCCACCATCAGGGACGCATAATGTCTGGTTGTCTCTCATTTGAGGATGTTAGGAGCCATAGATGGGATTGCAAAATGCCCACATGCTATCATTTCATCTTCTTTTATAAGCTGGAATCCTTAAAGAAAACTCGCCCTTATCAACTGTTCGGTTACCCTGAGGTGTAATTCATGAAGGAAAGGCAGAGAAAAACTTATTTTCCTTTATTTACAGGTTTTTATTCAATGAGTTGATTCCCTGACATCTTCTAAAATTGAACATTTTAAAATATCATTACGGTTCAGTGGGTTTAAACATATTTTATGTATTTAAATCCATTGCAATGATCACTCTAACCGACACTCCAATTGTCCCATTGGCCAGTGGGAACCTTTTGAAAGTGGTCCAACCTCATTTTGAATATTTTCTGTCCCTGACCTGGAAGCAGCCGTTTCTCCAAGGAACCCTGGTCCCTTTTTGGTGGAAAATGATATTGAGAATCTGGGCACTGGAGGTAATTATTCCTATTGAGTTGGCCCTTGTCTCTAAGGCTTTTCAATGAACAGAGCTAAAGAATTGCTTTTTAAAGATAAAGTGCATAATGGGTTCATTTCATTTCAGATGTAAGAATACTTTCTTTTTTACTTTCTTGATGTCGTATCTGTACCTGTGTTCATTCCTGCTGAAATTTCCAGTTCCCTACATCAGCATAATTTCCCATTCCCTACTGCATGTCCAAGACTCAGAGAATGATACAACCACTACCAACATCAGTGTGATGACTGAAAATGGTTTAAGTTGTTTTACTTTCTATTCCTCTTGTTCCTAGATCCTACTAAGGATGGCTGTGTTTTAAAATCTCTTTCGCCAGTTTCTTCATGTGTGATTTTGCCACCAACTGATATAGTCCCGTATTCATTTATTTCACTCTGCTTTTGAGTTTTGAGAAACTGCTTATCAAATTTAAATCTTCCTTTTTAGTTGTGAAAAATATTTACATAGGTCCAAACTTAAACCTCTAAAAGAAGACACATTCTGAGAAAGTCTAGCTTTTATCCCTTTCCTCTCTACCCTGTTCCCTCCTTCTTTCCATAGATAATCTTTGAGTTTGGACCTCACTCTTTCATCCAGTTGTTAATATGGGTCAATATATGTGTGTGTCTCCCACCCCTCTCTTCAATAAGTGGAATCATACGATTATTTTTTTACCTCTTTGCCTTGCTTTTTTTTCACTTACTAATATATTCTGGGGACTACTCCAGGACATTATATAGAATATTCCTCATTCTTGTTTATAGCTGCATCATCCATCTTGTTGATTATTCCAGTTCATTCAGTCAGCTCCCTATTGTGGAACATTTGGGCTCTTTCCATTCTTTTGCTACTATAAATCATGCCGCTTTGTATAGCTTTGTACATATATATGTCTTTTCACAGATTTGCAATTATATCTTTGGGATCGAGTTCTAGAAGCAGAATTGCTGGGTCAGAGAGTGAATGCATAGGAATTTTGCTGTACATTACCAAACTTCCTTTCACAGGAATTGTGCTATTTTGCATTTCCACCAGCAAGGTACTCTATAGAATACCTGCTTTCCCTGAGCCTCATGTGTCCTTGAACTTGGATTTTGCCTATCTGATGGATGAGAAATATTTTCTCATTGCATTTTTAATATATATATATATATTTCCTTAGAATGAGGTTGAGCATCTTTTCAAATGTTAAGGAGACATTGCATTTAGGACCCTTCCCTACTCCTCCCTGCCTGACAACTGTCACCATGGCATGTGAAGATGAACCAGAGAGTGTGAAAGACTGAATGCGTAGAGAGGTCATTTGAGCAGCACATGAGCAGGAGAAGAGACGAGCCAGCCAAGGCAATAAAACAATACAGCAGAGAAAAACAAAGTGGTGACCAAAGGCAGGATTTGGGTTTCCCTGTCTGGAGATTTTAGATAGGGTTTTGTTGTTGGTATTTGTGCACTGAATGAAGGGCAGCCTAGACAGAAAGTGACCGTGTGATCTACAGCTTTCTGGAAAGTAAGTGAGGAAATCACAGCTCACAACCCAAGAGGCTGGGCCTGTGCTGAATTGAAGCCAAGAGAGAGTCCCTGCTTCTGCAGAGGCTCAGTACCTGCATGGGGACCCTGGGACCAAACAGTAGCCCCCCCCACACACACACACACCTCCAAGGTCTTACGTGTCTATCGGAGAAAGAGAGGAACGTATTAGCAGGTTCAATGAGATGCAGAGATGGGTCTTGAAAACTGGGGTTACCCAGGAAGTGACAATACGCATGTGCAATTTACTCTCTCAATGTTTGATATAAATGCTGTGTTATTACTTAATTTCTCCATGCCTCAACTTACTGAAAATGGGGTGATAATCCCCACCTATAAAATGAGGATAACAGTAGCATCTGTCTTTTAGTGTTGCAGTTGTCACAAAGATAATCCTCCTTAAATCCTGATGCGCAGTAAACTCAACCCCAGCGAGCTCATTGCTGCCAGGGCAGCTGTAATACCACTATGGCCGCAGAGGGGTTTGGAGACAGAGGTCTGGAAATCCCAGCTCTCCCTTCCTTACTTCTTGATCTAGTCTCTTAGCCTACTTAGCCTTAGTCTTCTCATCTGAAAATGGGCATAATAACTGCATAAACGTTGTGTGCCTTTAAATGAAATAGCACACATAAAGTAGAGCTGTAAGTCATTGGTATGAGTTTCTACTACTAGTATTACTGTTCTTATCTCATGTTAATTAAACTCCCTAATGTATCACAAGAATGCTTGACAATCAGAATGCCTAGGTGGCTCAGTCAGTTGAGCCTCCAACTCTTAATTTCGGCTCAGGTCATGATCTCAGGATGGTGAGATTGAGCCCAGTGTTAGGCTCTGCGCTCAGCAGGGAGTCTGCTTGAGACTCTCTCTCCCTCCCCCGTCTGCCTCCCCCAGCCTTCTCTCTCTCGAAAATAAATAAATAAATCTTTTTAAAAAAGAATGTTGACAATTATTTTCTATCTTTCCAAGAAGTTCATAGAATTGAGAGAGGAAAGGTGCAGTATATTTGATTCCGTTTTATGAAACTGATTACCTAGAGAAACATACGAAAAACTGCAGAGACAGAAGTGCTGGGTAGCTCTTTATTTCCTTCCTGGTCTTGTTCAGGGCATTTTTGGCATCTGATAGCTCCATAGTAAGGGATTCCAAAGGACGCAGGGGTTCTTTGAAAACTGGGAGGCTGCTTAGTTTAGGATCTCTGGATTTGTGGTGTCTTCCCAGGTCCGAGTCCAGGCTCTATCACTTAGCAACGCAGGGCTAGTCGCTGCACCTCCATAAACCTGTCTTAGCTGTAAAACGGGGAGGATAATAGCGCCACCCTCGCAGGATTTGTGTTCTGTGAAGAGTGAGCGTGACTGCCCCGTGTGAGCCCGTGAGTGGCAGTGGTGGTGACAGTGGCCGCAGCGTGGGTGGCGGCTGTTACCGGCATCCTCCACATCGGTCCTGGGAAGGGACCAGGTGGGCGAGGTTAGACTGCATTAACACACAAGCCCCAAATCTCAGGGGCTTAAAAACAGGAGTTGATAGCGCACACAGACTGCCTGAGCTGCATGTTTAACACTGGTCATCAGCGGCCCTGCCCCTGAGTCACTTAAAGGTCCAGCCCAACGGGACTTCCATCTTGACACTTGCTCTCACGGTCGAGGAGGCAGAAAACTGCAAATCGGGCACCAGCTCCTCAAGTTTCCCCGTGGGCGGGACACGCGCCACTACTGCTCTCATGTGATTGGTCAAAGCGGTCACGTGGCCTAAGATGACGTGAAAGGGGTGGATGAGGAAATCTGACCACCTGTCGGAAGGAGGAGGACTGGACTCGCTCTGATGAGCGCCGCGAGGGCCAAGGGTCCGGCGCAGGAAGAGGCGGTGGTGAGGGAAGGATGCGGGTGGGAACGGGAAGCTGAGGGATGCGCAGAGAGAGACCAAGGGACTGAGAGGACAGGCGGGGCAGGATCAGAGGCATGTCTGCACCACCCAGTGTCTTGTGGAGTCACCTGCCATGAACCACTTTCATTCGCCTTTCCATCCTTTCATGTATTCATTCAAGCAATAATTACTGATTTCTGGCACAGAGGAATAAGTGTGTGCCAAGCTCTAGGCTAAATGCTGGGGATTCCGAATTATGTAAGACCATTAACAAGGTCCCTGCCCTCAGGGGGCTTACAGTGGAGCAGGTCAGGCCAGTGCTCTGAGCTGAGCTTTGGGGTCTGCCCAATGTCCAGTGCCAGAGCACCTGGTGCCAGGTGTGAGGAGGTGGCCCAGTCTCTGCTTTTGCCACAAGCCTGATGGTTGAGCGAGGAGCAAAGGAAAAACCAGTGTGACCCAAATATTAGCTGTACTTCAGCCCTTCTAGAATGACAGAGGGCTTTGTTTAAAGGATTATTTTTATTTCTCCCCTCTGGCCTTTAATAAAAGTCCAAATGATGTAACTGAGCATGTCTATAAAGGTCCCAATAGACAGAACTCACGGTTTATATAGTTTATGTAATTTTCCATAAAAACAAAAACAATACTTGTTGGCAGATACATTTTATAGAGAGAGTTTTTATTTGTTTGTTCATTTGTTCGCCCCTCCCCCCCCAAGAAAGCTGCTTCTCTCCTTTCTGTCCCCCCAGCTCCCTGTGGTGGTCATCTGACTTCGCCCAGTGGCACCATCCTGTCTCCGGGCTGGCCTGGCTTCTACAAGGATGCCCTCAGCTGTGCCTGGGTGATTGAAGCCCAACCAGGCTACCCCATCAAAATCACCTTCGACAGGTGCCTGCAACCACAGCCTTTGAGGAAACAGAGTGGGGGGGGGGTGAGGGGGATCTCTTAAGAGTGGTGTGGGAGGGAATCTGGGGTTGAGGGCGGAGGACCAGCACCTTTGCTGAAATGTCAGCAAAGTCAGAGAAGACTGAAGCAAATTGCCGTGGGTGGGGACAGGGCACATAGGCTTTGCCCTTGGCCTTGGTTTCACCTCAGTAGTGGGGTTTGTGTTGTTTATGACCAGAGGAGTGAGCAGAAGGCTGGGGCATCACTTGGGATGTCAGAGCCCTTCTGTCCCCCCACCCCCAGTGATGGAGAGTGGGCAGATAGACACCATCAGATGTTGAAGCAGGCATTGGCATCTGAGGAGCATAACTCTGAAATTTGCAGTATGAGAAGGCAGCCTTCCTGATCTCTGACCCAAATCCTGCTCGTATGCCGCATTTCCCGCTCACACCCCAGGGGTGCCCCTTGGATGGGGAAAGTAGCCACACAGATATGAACAGAAGCTTCTTCCAGACAAAGCATCCATGACCTAGAATAGCGCTGTTCAGACTTTTCCATGAGAGTCGATAGTAAATATTTTAGGTTTTGTAGGCCACCTGTGGTTATCTGTTGCATATTTTTTGCTCTTTAAAAACATACCCCTTTATAAATGTTAAAAACCATTCTTAGCTCTTAGGCCATACAAAAACAGGCTATAGAACAGATTTGGCCCTGGGCTATAGTTTACTGAATTCTGGCCTAGAACATTCTGACCACCCATGAGGCTAGTCATTGTGCCCCTAAGTCTCAAGATGAGTCTTGACCCAGACCGCAGGGAGGACTGAGAGAGTGCCCAGCCATGGGAGAAGGGGGAGGGGCTAAATGCAGCGGAGAAGGCCCTTCCCTATCACTAGTGAATGTGTGCAAATTGTATTAAAATGTCCCAGCCTGCCAAAATCTGGCTGTTCTGAAGCCCTGGGTCAGGCAGGGCTTTTTGTCATTTGCAAATTACTAAGCCTCAGGTTTCTCAAGTCTACATTCCCATCTTCGGCAGATTTAAAACAGAGGTCAACTATGATACTCTGGAAGTTCGAGATGGACGGACATACTCAGCGCCCTTGATCGGGGTTTACCATGGGACCCAGGTCCCCCAGTTCCTCATCAGCACCAGCAACTACCTCTACCTCCTCTTCTCTACCGACAAGAGTCACTCGGACATCGGCTTCCAGCTCCGCTATGAGAGTGAGTCTTGGCGGGGAGGCAGATGACAAGGTGGGCTGTGGGGGGTGCAGGGACCCAGGACTGTTCCAGCAGTGGGCCCCCAACTCAGCCCCATCCCCATGGCTTATTCAGTTAGGCTGTGCTCCTGGCGGGCACTCCCCTACTTTCGGCATCTGTCAGAGCCCACGGGAGCTCAAAGGGGAGCCTTTGGAAACAGTGAAAGCTGATGACCTGCATACCACAAAGCCTCTTCTACCTACCAGGTGATTGGGTGCCACCATGCCAGGCTCTTGGGGGACAGAAAGTTTGAGGATTGTGAGGTTGAAGTGTGATGGTATCTTCTGCTCACCCTCACCCTCCCTCATCCCCTTCTGCATCCATCTCTGCTGCCTCAATTGAATGAGATGGATGTCATTTCCATTCCTTGTAGACCAGTAGAGAAAGCGATGGTTGAGAGTGCCATGAGGACAACCCCATGTTCTCACTTATGTCTGTATCCCTAAGACTTACCATGGTGTCTAAACCATAGTGGATACTCAATTTATATGAACTGAATGAATGGATGAATGGACAAATACTAGAATCAGCTTGTTTTCTCTGACAGACAGGTCTTCAAATAACCCTCTCAGCAGATAGTGACAGCCACACTTGATGCATGGGTAAATGACAACTTCACCTTTCTGTAAATCAGGGTTCTCTCCTCCCACCCTTTTTGAGCCAGCTGGGGTCTTTCTGTGGTGATGGTTAGCTGTCTGTTCCAGCTGTGGGCTCTCTTTTCCAGCTATAACCCTGCAGTCAGACCACTGTCTGGATCCAGGGATCCCCGTAAATGGGCAGCGCCATGGGAATGACTTCTACGTGGGCGCTCTAGTGACCTTCAGCTGTGACTCAGGCTACACGTTAAGTGATGGGGAGCCCCTGGAGTGTGAGCCTAACTTCCAGTGGAGCCGGGCCCTGCCTAGCTGTGAAGGTGAGAAACACCCTGTAAGGGGGTGCTAAGGTAGTCAATTCCTTTCCAAATGTGAAAGACCAGGAGCTGGAAAGGGCATTGACTCTCCCACCCATCAGTGAGGGTTGAGAGAAGATGGCTCCCAGGGCTCCCAGGAGGATTGGTTGGGGCCGGGGGTGTGGGGGTGGGGCTCCCCAGGCCACTCCAGTCTTTCACCACCATCTTTATTCCCGTAGCACTCTGCGGTGGCTTTATTCAAGGCTCTAGTGGGACCATCTTGTCACCAGGGTTTCCTGACTTCTACCCCAACAACTTGAACTGCACCTGGATTATTGAAACATCCCATGGCAAGGGTGAGTGGTTAGGCCTGGAGCAAGTATTGGGATGTGACGTGGTCAGGGCCCCATGTTCTTTAGGTCAAGGTGGCCTCAGTGGGGATCTCCCTATGTAGTGACCTCAGGGCTTGGTCTGAATTTTTCTAGTCAACAGGAAAACTCCCAGAAGCTTCCCATCTCTTTGAATCATAGAATATATTCCATAAGTATTTTTAAGAATCTAAAATCTCCATGCTAGAAGAGATCATAGAGATTATCAGCTGTCAAACCCTACATAATGATGCAGACATCTTGTCTAATTGCTCCCCACAAGATGGCACCAGACCTTCTGCCTTAAACACCCCCAGCAGTGGGAAGGTGGCCAACCCATTCAGCAAATGGGCACCTGCTGTCATTTTTTGATAGATGACCCCCTCCTCATAGCCTGTGAAGTGTTCCTGAAAGTTTCTTCCTTGTTCTATGTCCTGGAGGAACATAAGATCCATCTGTCCCCTCTCCTCATGTTCACCCTTCAGACACTGGACCCATGAACCTCTTCTTACATAGCTCAGCTGTTCCTCAGATGCCATGATTTCACATTCCTCACCAGGCTGGACTGTTACCTCAACTTACCCTCACATGAATAATCTTTGGAAATCCAAGTTCAAAGTAAGGGTGCTGGTTAGAAATAAATAGGAAATGATATAGTCTTTGATTCAACAAATATATATTGAATAATGCCACCCATGTGGCAGACTCTGGGGCTGGGAATAAACAGTAACCAGGCACATATGGCTTCTATCCTCAGAAGCTTATTCGGAAGAACCAGGGTAATGGTTCTTAACCCCTCTGCACTGTAGCATATATATTAATGCTTAGACTGCACCATAGAGGTTTTGATTCTCCATGTTGGAGGTGGAAAACAGGCATCTTTGATTTTAGAACACTTCACTAGTAAATCTGATGCATGCCCTTGAATGAGAACCTCTGATCTAGAAGAACTAACATGTAGAAAAGCCAAGAAAAAAAAAATTAAAAAAAAAAAAAGCCAAGAAAAATTTTTAAAAGAAAGAGTAACTCTTCCAGATAGTAAAATGTTATTGACTAAAATTATTTTAACAATGTGATATGAGTATTGGAGTAGACACACAAACCAGTGCAGGCGTATGAAGGTCTAGAAGTAGAGTCCTATGTGTGTGCGTGCATGCGTGTGTGTGTGAGTTTGTGCATGCACACACATGCACACTCATCTATGTGTGTGAGAGAGACAGTTTGTAGTATATAATTAAAGTGTCATTTCTAATCTATTGAAGAGAGGATGGATTATTTAATAAATGGTTTTAAAACAGTAGACTTAAATACTTGGGAAAAAAAGAAAAGAACCAAACAGACCTCATACATTTAACCACATAAATTCCAGTACTAGAAGAACATGAAAATCTAACCTCAGGTGGAGATGTGCTATAAAGAGTAATACTAAAAGCAGAACCCATAAAGGCAAAGACTATAAAATTTGATTAAATAAAACTTTGAGTGGATTTATGTAAAAAAAAAAAAAAGGCCATAAAAATTTCAGATAGTAAGTGGACAAAATTATTTTCAACATATATAATCAACTAAAGATTACCAAGCTGATGCATGAAGAGCTCTTAAAAATCTTAAAGAAAAATATACCTGGTCTCTGGGCCTGTAAAATGAGACAAGCTATAAATGCTTCATAACAGAAGAAATAGAAATGAAAGGACATTGACCCCACTCATAGTTAGAGAAATGCAAATTCAACTAGTAATGAAATACCATTTCTTTTTTCAAGTCAGCAGAGAAAATCCTAACAGTGTGGGAGACAGTGTGCAGACACAAATACTCTTCTTCAACGCTGACATTTTATGAAATGGTTGAAACTCTCTGGTTGATGGTTCCATGATGTGAATCCAAAGCCTTCAAAATATATGTGCCTTTGGACCCAGCAATTCCACTCCTTGGAATTTATATGAAAAAAATAAGTACAACTGTACATCAAGATTCAGCTGCAAGGATGCTTCCTAAAACACATTATTAATTGGAAGATTAGTTAGCTACTCAAAAGTCCATTGATAAGGAAATGTTAAATAAACATATGATACATGTATAAAATGCAATACTGTGCAGCTACTAAAAGGCATAATGTGAGAGAATATTTAAAGACCTACAGGGGTAGGGGTGCCTGGGTGCCTCAGTCGGTTAAGCGACCAACTCTTGATTTCAGCTCAGGTCATGATCTCAGGGTCGTGGGATTGAGCCCCGTGTC